CCTTTCAGTTGAACTACTGTTGAGGGGTAAACTCATGAAGAGTTGTGGTTAAAGATCTTTGATTTAGTATCAAACAAACCAGGGTTTTGATTCCACCTCCAACACTTACTAGTTATATGGCTTTGGACAATAGTTATTCAGCTATTATTATTATTATTGTTGTTGTTGTTATTTTATAATAATAGCTTTCCAGTCCCTGTAGGTTATCTTTCTGCCCTATTGATTGTTTCCTTCACTGTGCAGAAGCTTTTTTAGTTTGATACAATCCCATTTGTTTATTTTTTCTTCTGTTGCTTGTGCTTTTGAGGTCTTATTCATAAAGTCTTTGCCCAGTCCTACTTCCTGGAGTGTTTCCCTTATGTTTTCTTTTAGTAATTCTATGGTTTCAGATCTTATATTTAAGTCTTTAATCCATTTTGAGTTGATTTTGGTGTATGGTGAGAGGTGCAGGTACAGTTTCATTCTTCTGCATATGGATGTCCAGTTCCAGCACCATTTATTGAAGAGGCAGTTCTTTTCCCCAATGTATGTTCTTGTTGCCTTTGTCAAAGATCAGTTGGCTGTCAGTATGTGGGTTGATTCCTGGGTTTTCTATTCTGTTCCATTGATCTGTAAAATGAATATCGTAGTACTTACCTTGCAGAATTAAATTCTATAATATAATGGAATTATAGCATGTGCCTTACACATAATGCATTCTCAATATATATTAGTTTTCTATTTTTATATCATCCCATCATCCCCTCTTATACTTTTACTTGAGTTTCATTGACTCCTTTTTTCTAATCACCAGGCTAAATTCAAGTTGACCACAATGAAGAATAACACAGAAGTGACAGAGTTCATCCTCTTGGGATTAACAGATGACCCCAATCTTCAGGTTCCCCTCCTCCTGATATTTTTATTCATCTACCTCATCACTCTGGTTGGAAATGGGGAAATGATGGTGATCATTCACTCGAACTCCCGTCTCCACACTCCAATGTACTTCTGTCTTAGCAATCTCTCTTTTGTAGATCTTGGTTACTTATCTGTAGCTCCCAAGATGGTGGCTGCATTGCAGTCAGGGAACAAGGTCATCTCCTATAATGGATGTGCGGCTCAGTTCTTCTTCTTTGTAGGTTTTGCCACTGTTGACGGCTATCTCCTGGCCTCCATGGTCTGTGACTGCCATGCAGCAATATGTAAGCCTCTTCATTACACCACCACCATGACAGGAGGTGTGTGTGCTCTCCTGACTCTGGTTTTTATGTCTGTGGCTTCCTCAATGTCTCTATCCATGCAGCAGACACTTTCAGACTATTCTTCTATGTTTCTAATGGGATTAGCCATTTTTTCTGTGACATTCCTGCACGTCTGAATCTCTCGTGTTCCAGCACAGGCATCAGCAAGTTGGTAGTCTTCTTTGTCATGGGCTTCAACGTCTTTATTACCCTCCTGGTCATTGTCATGTCTTACCTCTTCATAAACATCACCATCCAAAGGATGCATTCTGCTGAAAGATGGAAGAAAGACTTCTCCACTTGTGCTGACCACCTCACTGGGGTCTCCATCTTCTATGGCACAATCATCTTCATGTATTTACAGCCTAGCTTCAACCAGTCCATGGACACAGACAAAATTGCATCTGTGTTTTACACTGTGGTGATTCCCATGCTGAACCCCTTGGTCTACAGCCTTAGGAACAAAGAAGTGAAAAATGCTGTATGGAAAATACTCAACAAACTTTACCCACAATCTTTAAGTGTGAGCAGGAAGAAGGCTGGTGACTAAGGGATAAACCTTCTCTCAGACCTAAATGCTATCATGACTTTTGAGGTTTGGCAGCTTTCAGTTCTTTCTTCTCCAAGAACAGTGGTTACTTCTGCTATTAGGAGAAGATATAAAAAGCAGCACTTTGAAATGTGATGCTTAGGAAGATAATCTTACATTTAGTGAATAACAACATGGAACATTTAAACTCTTCTTGCATTAGTTTCTTGATGTGGATTAAATCAGAAGATCAAAGCATATACCTGAATCATGTAATTTTCTTCTCTTTATTTTTAATTGTAGGGAATTTTCATTTGCTATTAAAATTGGTGTAAGGATCACAAATTTATTTACAATTTTATTGACTAAATGCACAGTATTATGTTTTTCATTTCTTTGGTCCATGAGTTTGAAAGTTAAAGTTTCTAATGCTGACAAAGAATGTTTCAATATTTTTAATAATGC